CTTAGCGAAGGGCTTGACCAACAAGTGTGATAATCCTTTGACTGTTACTTTTGCTGGCACTCAGGATGACCCAAAATGAGTGGCTCGCAACCGTTGTGAATGACTGAGGCTGCACTTTCTCTCAGCTTCTTGAAAGTCTCCACTTATGTGAGACACCCCTGTCCTGCGTCATCCAAATGTGTAGTTAGTAATCGGTCATCTCCCAAATAAGATTCCGCATGGTGCCGTTTCCGATTCGTTGCATAGAAGCTCAATGTGCCTTCGTCTTCTTAGTTCTCTAAACATCGTGGAAAGTTAGTCGTGGAAAGTCAGCATAATCATTATATATGAAAGCTAGTAGTGCTGGCAATGCCACACAATAAACACAGCATCACTCGCATTTTTTAGTATTACTTTGGTAGGCTGTATCTATCATCAATTTGTTAATCTGTCATTGTTTCTCGAGGACTAATTACACGGGTTGATTCTATATAATTTGGACTGCGGCTCCCAAGAGCATTCAATACGTTGATGAAGATGCAACGCGACATGTCATCGCTTCAGCGACGCCCCGCCCGGAAGCGGCAATGCTCTGAGCAAGCACAAGATGTCCAAAAAACTTCCAAAAGGCCTTGTTCCAATGTTTTCGCCATTTATTGGGGGGGCACCTCCCCAACCAAGTGGACCGGGTAGACGGTCGACCGGTCTAGTGGTCCGAAGCCTTGTCAACGGGAGGTCCTCTTTGAGCCAGTCGAACCCGGTCAGTTGGTCAGTCGAGAGCTTCCAGTCGTCCTGGAATCCGCACCTTGGCGAATCATCATCCTCTCGAAGCAGCCTTGGAGGTGAGGAGAGGTGGAGTCAAAATCAGACGACGCGAGAGCGAGCTTGGAAGAAAAGCCGTTCTCGAAAGCAAACCAGTTCGAGAAGGTGTTCTTGGTGGACGAATTGACCTGCTATAGAGTATCCACGAGTATCCTAAAGTCATATTTTGAGATCCATTTGACTTCTTGTTGCCAGGCGGGCAGCCAGGACCGTTCTCGTCTGGACTCGCCTCTGAAAAACCTGCCAGAAATCTGAGTGGTTGCGCCCAACCAAAACAACATCAAAAACCCAACCAGAGTCTGGGTGTTTCACAGTTTTTCAGTTTGCTTATATGGCTGGGTGCCTCAACTGAATCTGCGGTTGTATACCAAAACAATGCAGGTGAACATCAAAATAGCTCGCAAATGGATGTTCACCCCACACAAAATGGTAACTTCACACATCCTGGCCAAAAACAAATGACATAAACAAGCATCAACCAAAAGCTTCCTCTCTGTGGCAGTTGATCTATTGATCCAAAGAAACCACACTCTACATCTCGGCGCTTCTCACCTGCAGTTTTCCGGAGTTCCTCTGCCAAGTGACACTTGTCTGTGGCTGGGCGTGTGATACTCCTGGCAAGGAGCCAGACGGGTGGCGTTTCCTGGTAGTTTGCTGCTCGTTTGCACCTCACAACTTATATATATATATATATGTATGTACATATAAATGACTTAGCAGTGAAACAACAGGAGAGTTTGACCACTCAAGTTGTGATGCTTTTCCGTGTGTGTCACAATGGACGGTCGACGCTAGTCTTCGCTTTCTTGGATCTTGGAAACCTGGAACATGCAAATCCACATGTAAATCGTGGTCATCCCAGTGGTTGGGGCAGCCTCAATCCCTGCTGGTGACACAACAAGCAAACGACATGCCCAGTGGAGAGGGGTTCGCTCTTCCATCATGAGAATACCAACAATATGTCCAGCAGTCATAGGATCGAATAGGAAGGTCTTCAAGAGCTATATCCAAGAGTCATCAGGAAGTGTCGAAGCCTGCCTGTCGCTGGTGGCTCAGGCCAATTCAAGATACGAGATCTCCGGCCGACGGCAGCATCACGTGCATGACAAGCTTAGTGAATCTTTGGTGAGTCCTTGAGGACAACAAACAAAAAAACGACCAAATACATTGAATCGAACAATATTGAGAACACATGTTCTCTCAGTCACCTCATTCTCCCTCGTCGACACCCAACAAAAAGAGGAGACATGACTCTCGACGCTCATGCCGTTCCACTTCTTCCACCGCTTTCCACATGTTTCCTTCCGCCTCTGGGTAGTCACACCAGCGGGCCGGGCGACTGCTCGAATCCTCCCGATCAAGCCCGAGTGGACGACTGGTCCAGGTTGAAGTGGGTGATGGCTGGGTTTTTTCGCGAGTGTCGCATGCTTGGGCGAGGGGTCACTGCCGGAGGAGCCCAAGGGGCCTGAGAAGCCACCGTGACTGGGCCGGATCGAAGCCAGGTCAGTGGATCACCTGCAAAATGTATGGAGTGGGGGAGTAGTTTCCCCACTAAGTGGCAGAACAGATGGAAAACAGGTTACATCGACCTCGACTGAGGTCTCAGTTTTTTGTTGAGCATGGTTCTGGGAAAGACTTTGGATGGGTCGCCGTATCTTCCGCTCAACCGTTGTAGTTCCACATTTTGACAAAACCATACAAAATACTACCAAACATTGCCAAACTGCTTGGTTGCATGTCGCATGTTCCAAGTTGTTTTCTTCCCGGTGCGCTGGGAAGATATTGTCGCTTATATACATGTTTCTTTTTTGCGGACGCCTCAATGCACATAAGCGGTAGGAAAGGAGATAAGCTGAGATAAGATCGGACAAGGACATGATCCTTTCAGCTGCGGAGAGATTCATGAAAGAATCAAGAGAATTATATACCTGGAATTGTGTCTGGTTTTGCAAGAGGCTCCCCACCACCAAACAAAATACACTCCAAAAAGGGACATATCAAAAAGTAAAGTGTTACTCTTCCCTATGAAGCACCACCCAAACACATACACTCTGAATGGATATATGAGTCGTTTTCAAAATTATCGTCATTTACTTGTATATTATACAAGGGCGTTTGATCAAAAAATATTACCTCTATTGTTACATGCATTAGTTCCTTGAGTTTTTTGAGTTCATGCTGGTAAATCGAAGAGACTCGCGAAATCAGGGCGATGTGTGGGTCCTTCGTACCTGCGCAGGTGCCGCAGTCTCAAGATCCTTCCCCCCGCCCAGCCAACCAGCCTCGACCCAGGAAACGCTTCTGACAGGCGACTCCTGGCGCACAAGAGCATGAAAGGGAGGGATAGTCAATCCGCTTTTCAAAGACCTTGCAAAAGGCGTCCAGGCATCTCCCTTGGTTTACAAACTTTGAAAGTCAATGAAAGTCAAAACTCATTGGCAACGAGCAAACAATGTCTTCAGGGGTTTTCGACCCTTTCAGCTGGCGGAAACCATGAGCCATGCAGAAATGATGCAGCTTGTGTTCCGGAATCTCCTAGAAAAGTACACGAGAACCGTCGGAAAAAGTCAAAGACGTCCACGAGAATCAAAGACGTCCACGTGTGGAATGATGTGAACAAAATCTGAACCGGAGCAACCACCTCGCGTGTGTTTGTTTCAGGCAAGGTTTTCTTTGGAGCTGAGGAAGTCCCACTATGCATGAAACATGCAGGCACGGATGTCACCCAGAAAAGTGATTTGATCCACCTGGAACCCAAACAAGCTTGTTCGATGCTTTTTCTTCCTTGTTGATCTGTGGACCCAGTAGGGTAGCGGGATTGGTGAAAGTCGTGGAACATAGCGACCACCCCCACCACCAGCGACCGTCCAACTCACTCGGTCCCCTCGGCTCGGCTCTGAGCGCCTCTTCAGCAGTCGCCGCAGGCTCTGCAGCAGGCTCTGCAGCAGGTTCTGCAGGCTCCTGATCACATGAAGTCGGTTGGAAGAGTGCCTTCCAAGGAGTCTCAAACAAAGGGGGTGGGAAGACCAAGGCTTTGTTAACCCGAAGGTTGTTTTTATGCCATGGAGCACGATTGCTTCGTGGGTTCGGAAAGGAACTCACGGGCCCAAGAACCCCGCTCTATGGGATTTTGGGAGGAGAAGAGAAACCAATGTGTGTCTTCTGTCTTTCCATCTTTACACGCTTCAACTTGAAGATACTTCGGGACCTTATGATCTTTCATGTCTCTCAGCAGGATACTATATAGACCATAGTGACTATAAGCAGCAAGGCTCAAGATGAAAGGGCCACTGTTGGTGCCCTTTTGGGGCCAAAACCCAGGGACGTCCATAAAGATACCTGTTGAACCCATCGATGCCATCGAGAACCACCTTAGGATCGGCAACCGCCCAACATGACGCGTCTGATCCTGTCTCTGTAGAGGAGATGAGACTCTGATAAGACTCTGATAGAATTCTATGTCGAATCCTCTGATATCTGATAGATGTCTCTACTAAATGTCTCTCATAGATCCACTGCATTTCTCGGAAGTCTCACCCTGACATCATCCCAACGCCGATCCACCTTGGTCGCTCCGTGGGGTTTCTTCGCAAACTCTTCAGTCTCCTGAGGGGAAAGAGAATGCCTATACCGCCTATATACCGATCCGATTAGCTGGTTGCCAGTGGATGATGATGGTTAGGTTGCAGGCCTTGTCCAAAAATAGTAATTTGCTTGTGAAACCTGACTGTTACAGGTAACAGGACAATACCCTACCTATACCGATACCAGGTTCTACCCTCTCTCAAACAACGAGGGTCCAGCGGAACCAAACAATTCACTATATGCAACCATGCTGCACGGCGGAAAACCAGCTTCCATTTCCAGGTGAGTGTGTTGTTTTTTTCTTTTACCTTGCTCGAGTGTATGAGAAATGAGCCAGGCGAGTGTCAACAAATGTGCTTGTCTTGACCTTTTTGATGGACAAGTTGTCACCTGGGGTCGATCAGACTGGAGAAAGACTGACCTGGAGGGATGGAGGGATGATCTGCGAAAGACCATCCGGAGTAAGGACAGAAGCACGGACGGACATAGAAACAGTTGAAACCAACAGATGCAGATGGTCAAAAAATGCCAAGGTCCCTTGTGTAGCTTTTTTGGCACAACCATAGAATCCGGCACAACCAGCTGTTCTTCTTTTCAAGGAAAATGCTGTCTTCGGTGGGTCTTCAGCTTTGGACGATGTTGCTGGGCTCTCCCGAGGCCGTCAGAAAATCATAGAGCCCTTGTGTGTGTGGACTCCCTGTCATGAAACCGTCTCGAACGAACAACAGAAGAACTGACATTGGCTGAATAAAGCTCTCAGCCCGAGAAGATCCAGCTGACCTTGAACATCCTTTATATAACAAACAGCGTCGACATCCTGACATTGATCTCTCCCGGTGACGATCGTTGAATTCTGAAGGTCCAAAATGGCTTTACCTTGATACCAACAGCTGCTCAAGGTGTCGTGTCATGGCATGTCATGGCGTACATGTACAATCCCACAACAGCGTCAAAATGGCCCACCTTTGTCACCCAAACACTGACGCGATCATCTTGTCATATATGACAATTGGTCTCAGCGTAAACTTGCCGGGAAGCCGCTGCGACAAGTTGAAGATGCTCGGCTGAAATGCCGGGCTATGGGCTGCGTACAGCACATGCCCTTGGCTCTGCTCTGCCAATCCGAGATGAACCCCAGCCCAGTGATGATTCCAAACCCACCCAAAGCAATCCCCACTTTGAAAGGGGATTTTTGCCATCAGAATCACTTGGGAAGGTGTGAAGCCATACCTTCTGAGACCCACTGGGAGCTCAAACATTCGGCGAACATGTCTCAGCCGTGCGCGTGTCCAGCTGCCTTTGCGCCAGACTCCAAGGCCCATGACTGTTCCTGGAGCTTTGTCGCTGCCTGTGGTGGTCGCATTGGGAGTGCCTGCTAGAACCATTGCAACTCCTGAAATGGTTCCATTCTCCGGAAAACACACGTCTGGATCCAAGAAGTAGCCGTCCTTCTCCAGCGACACTTCAGGGGATACTCTGAAATTACTCAGGGTCTCTTCGAAGATCGTGGTCGTTCTGGGAAAAGATTCATAAATGGAAGGAACCGAAGAGAATCCAAAGCCCGCCACGTTGTTGTAGGCTAGGAACTCCGTCGCTTCAGTTGCAGGAGCATTCCAAACAAAGCCCCCACGAGTGAAGCTGAGATGGAAGGTCAACTTCCTGCCTTCAATGATCTGCAGATCTGCCACTTGGTCCATGGCAGAAAGCAGCAGCTGCCCATAAGGTGCTCCACCCTGAAAAACGTAACCCACCCCGGCGATCATCGCCGGGATCTTCTTCCGCTCAAACACGAAGCAGTCGCTGCCGGGGTGCAACTGCTGATGCTTCAGAGTTTGGTTGAAGAAGGGGCTTAGCTTGATCAACGATTCATCCTCCACGTCGTTGACCAGCCTACTCCAACCATATAAGTCCACACGATGAATGCTGAGCGCAGGGGAAGTACCCCGATCTTGGAAAAATCTTAACATGCTAAGCACCTCTTCATAAAAGTTTGGCATCAACGAGATATCAGCAAGGGTCAGAACCACATAGTCCGCATCGACCTGCGAGGCCCTTTCCAAAATATCTCGAGCCAATGGCATCGAAGGAACATGCTCCGAGCGACTTGCCAGGATGCGCCTCGAGGTTCTCGTGAGCTCGGGGAGCGGAATGAACGCGGCGGCACGCGAGACCCGAGGCTCTCCAGCAATTTCCACGGTGTACAAGGAGACATTGATCTCAGCAGCTGCTGCCAGCTGGCGAGCATGGAGCCAACTGGCCATCGCAACGCGCTGGCCGATATCTTCCTTGGGCATCAGGTTCACGACATGTGCGAAGCTGGGTGGACGCGCTTCGGCGAGTCCAAGTGGCAAGGCCAATGAGAAAGCGGCCCAAAGAGCCATGGCCGTCAAGGTCGAACTCAGACTCTATGACTCATGACTCTATATGGATATTCTGCTGTCTTGTGAAGTAAGTGGCAAGAAGTCAAAGAATAATATCGTGCAGAAACTGCAACCTGTAATGTAATTAATAGAGCTCAGCTTTCATGGAAGTGGCTGTGTGTGTGTGTGTTCGGTGTTGCTTCACTTTGGATTGCTTTGCTCTGTTTTGTCTGTCTGTCCCAGATCCGGACGTCTGCGAAAACCCATGTCGCGGTGTGACCTTATGAGGCCCAAAGGTGGATCCGTTTGAAGCATCAAGTCATCTCCAGGAGCATTGAAGAGATGACATATCACCCGGTTCCAGTGAAGAGTAAACGCAAAGATGCATCAGTCGCCACCCCTTCTTCTCCGACAGTTGCTCCGGTCCTGCGCCTCTTCTTTCTCTGGCGCTGGTGGCGACTCCTGTTTGGAAGGCTCCTGCAAATGTGTAAAAAAGCATCAAAGTGCAGCTGACACAATGAGAAGGTCTCTGTCCAGTGCGGCACCACAGATGGACCAAAATGACACTCTTCCGCCATCCTCTCAGCACCAGACTTAGCGAAGCACCAGGGCGAAACTATAGGCAGAGCCGACAAAGTGTTTCCGAGAATTGCCAAAACTTTGAGTCACTACGCTTTGTAGATGACATCGGCGCTGGGCTGGGGGAGAGAAAACCAGGATTGTTGACTAAAGTAACCAACCTCAAAATGGTTAAACATTCTCAGCATTCCCCATCTGTGGGGCTGTGTTTCATCCACAGTCTACACTGTCTACACCAAATCCGGTCGAGTTCCACGCCCAATCGCAACGGCGTCTCCACCGGGGGGAGTCTCCAACGGCCGATGAACCAGTGAAAAGTGGGTCACCTTTCGGGTGGTCCCGGTCGTCCCGGTCGCCGGGGGGGGTCTCACTCGTCCCGCGCGTTCGGGGTCGACGGTTCGTGACGAGAGACGGAGGGGCGGTGCTTCACGCGAAGTGTTGCGGCTCGGCTCGTTGGGTCGTTTGGGTCGGCTCGTTTTAGAATTCACCAATCACTTGGAACAACAAATTGACCCATTTGACCTCTGTGGCCTTACTACAAGCTCCATCAAGCTCTTTAGTTGGATTCGCTGTGTACGCAGCTCCTTTCCGTGCAGATGGAAGGTATGCTCATGGCACTGATCACAAGAGACCTCCCTAGGCCGACTTCCTGCCACTTCTTGTCACAAACCCAGAAATAAGTACGTTCTCCGTTTCCAACAGTTCCCGGTGACATATTTCGCAAAGGAGGTGAGCATCCAAACGAGGAAGGGTATGGAAGGGTGAAATCCGACACCCCACATAGAAACGACATACATCAACACAAGCTGATCATTCGTTGAAAGTACACCCAAGGAGTACATACGCCTCTTGGTTCCGTTCTTCACAAGGATTTCACTGAAGAGAAGTGCAATGTCCACATCGATAGTATGGTGACCCATCAAACAATCACGCACGACGACCCCATCGCAGTTGGAGAACTCACGTTTAGACTCTGGGACACCTCCTCTTGGTGTGTCTGACAGGGTGTTCGATGGGTCAACAACCTGCAACTCGATGGGTCAACAGCCTTTACCTGAACATACGCGCCGTACGCACTTCGACCGGAGATGAGACCCAAGAGGGTGTTCTTCCATGCAGAAAAAGACAAGGAGAAAACCCTGTGGTGTTGCTGAGTTGGCCTTCCAGGTTCCACAGAGTTGGCCTTCGCCACGAAAACTCTTTTGACTGTGACTCACACCATCTCAAACCTATTCAACCTATCCCACTGTGCTGTTTTCAAACTAGGGATGAGGATTGGCGAACCCATCACCTCTTTTCTTGCTTTTCCTTCAGATCTAACCATGTATGCTGGTATGCGTCCTCAACTGGCTCCCAACTGAGCGGAGGCTCCTGCGTTTTGCTCGCGCTACTCGCTCGCCCGACCAACACAGAATCCCACGGGCTTTTAAAGGCACACCCTGGTTTCGTTGGAAGCACCGTGGATTGAAAAAACGATCGTGTGGTACGTTGAACCTTTCTGCTTTCGGCTTTCTGCTTCAGAACTCAGGCAACCGGTTGTTGCTACCAAGCCCCCAAGCGCCCTGGATTGTCGTCCCAACCGCCTGACCGGTCAGGCCGACATTGCTCAAAAGGTCGGATGTTGCGGGCGAAGGAAGAGCACCTACTACCCTAAACGTCCAGACTCTGAGGCCCCCCGATCAAGTGGATTCTTTTGCAGAGGAGCACGTCGTTGAAATTCTGTTTCGCAGATAGCCACAGCTGTTATGCATCGCTCATATCAGTTGGTGTATATTTACTCACTCCACAGGGAGGCTCCTCCTCGATGGCGTCTTCCCAGCTGAGTGGAGGCTCCTCCAAGTACTTGGAGGCGGGTGGACGTTTTTTTTGTGTATGTTTGTCTCTGTCTCTGCAAGGCACTGGACTCTATGTGGGAAGGTGGTAGGATTATTTAGGTTTGCACACTAGAATCCTCGAGGGTTCAGCACAAAGTCTTGTGGTTTGGTAGTGTCACACACGACAGTGATTGAAAAAAATGATAGTGATAATGACGATACTCTTGTATGGTTTCACCAAAAAATACACTAGAGCGGTACCATAGGGTATTAAGAGACTTGTGCTCCAAGTTGGCGGGCCTGTTCTTTTCTTTCTCATCCCATGTTGGGGCCGAAACAATAGTTTTGGACCAAACAACATCAAGAGGAGTTGAACGACGTCCCGCCCCAAAGCCGCGGAGGTCGAGGAGCAGCACTGGCCTGATGTGGAGATGAAGCTGAAGAGGTGTCATCTTCTCTCGAAGGAGGCTCCTTGCACAGGTGGAGGTCAAATTAGCCACGTGCAGGTGCTGACGACGCAATGATGCTTTATTTGATGATGACACTGCGGGAAGAATCTCACAGCAGCATTACACCCGAGGTCTGTGTTCTTCGTTCAATTCACCAGAGATCCAGACACCTCTGGCCTAGTAGATGTTACATTTCTCCTTGTGGGGAGAAAGCCTAAAGCTGTCAGGGCTTCATCTACAAAAAGAACCCGAAAAGGACAGCGCAAAGGACAGCGCTCTCTCCCACCAAGGCTTGAGGAAAGCAGCCGGAGCACCAGAGAACTGCTCTATTCAGAGTTCAGAGAACATCCTTAGAAAGACCATTAAATAAGAAGATCACAGAAAAACTATGCGTAGAAGCATCACGGAGCCTCTGGCCACTGGTCACTGTTCGAACCTGCTGCTGTTCTTTTGCTTTTGCAATCTTTTTGCTTAAAGAATCTCTCCTCCAATCCACCAAAAAATGTCGACTTCTCGCTCTTGACTTGGGCCGTCCTGCCGCGGAACTGGGGACTCCTCCCACATCGGCTCTGCGATCGGCTCCTGCGGTCAGCGCTGGTCGTCTTCCGTGGTGTCTTTGTGTCTATAGTGTTCTTGTCTGGCCACACCATCTATCCTTGATCTAGTTGAGACCACAACGTTCATCCACAGAACGAAAAAGCGGTGCCTGACACCTGCAGTGTCCATGCAACCTGACACTTGGGCACTCAATCGCGGTCCTTGGGAGGCCCATCTGTTGAAGGCGCCTCTTCGAGAAGAGGCTCCTCAGGCTTCTGTGGCTCCTGACGCTCCTGGCAGAGTCGAAACTCCAGGTGAGATGAGGAGGAAGGGAGGAAGAAACGAAGAAACGAAGAAAGCAAGAAAGAAAGAAAGGAAGAAAGAAAGAAGCTCATCATTTTTGAACTCAATCAGCCCATTCTCGGAGAGCCAAGGTGACAAAACGGGATCCGAGGGTATACCATCTGGTCCTGGTCCTAGAAGCCTGCTGTCCTTGGATTTTCTCCAGGTTGACTGGGGAGGACTATAGAGTTCACCTGACTGGAGGATGGATTCTGAGAGGTCGAGAAAAAGAATTCCCCCCCCCAAATCCTTCATTGACGAAGACTATCTTGCTTTGGGACATGAAAGAAGAAAGTCCCAACCTCGAAATCGTCTAACTGAACAGAATCTACAGTAGAGCAAATCCTATAACCTGAGCCCCTTGGAGAAACAATGCCATGTTCCCATCACTGCTTTATCAACAGCTCTCCTCGATCACCGCTGCTTCCAAGCTTAAAGGAGGCTCCTTTGGTCAACGTCCAAGCCAATCTGAGACTGCGACTCAAGGGGTTTAGATGGCACCATGTGGGACGATGTTGTCTTGATCTTCCGCGAACAAGTCTGTTCAAGCAGGAAAAGGGCCAACCCCTTGGAACCCGAAACCACAGGGTTCTCATCTGCCATCGAATCTGCATCAGAACAATCCTGAAAACTGCTGGGAAGGGAGAGGAAAGCCATCAACCACTGCTGGGTGTTGGTCTTTGTTCAGTTCCGCTGATCCTCCAAAGGCACCCGGCCCGGCATCGGACTTCCAATTCTCAAAACAAACCGCGGGCAGGGTGTTTTTTTTGCGGGGGGCATCCGGGGATGCATCATGTGATGCATCCTGCAGAAATAAAATAAAGCACGGGCAAAAAAACACAAACCAAAGCATCCTGCAACAAGATCACGACGGCAAACCCTTTGGCAGCTCGGTTTACCATCGTTTCGGAAGTCTTCAACATCGGTCCGATCTGATCATCTGTCCGATCTGGTCCCACCTTTCGGGTCTGAACATGCCGTCTGCCGTTCACTGATTTGAGGCGGTGCAGTTCGTCGTCTGCGTAAGTGAAAAGTTGGCGAAGTTGGATGGAACCCTGAAACAAACACTTGGAATGCAAATGCGCCCCCTCTCTCTCTATTTTGTGTACTTCACTTGGCCAGCCCATCAGCTCCTCCAATGTGGAAGCAGCTTCATCTCCTCTGGAAGGAGACTCCTGGAGATGAACCAGCTTTGTCGAGGTCTTCAACGGCCCGGCTGGATCCCACGGACGGAAACCGGCGGACGAGGGAAGCGACATCGGACGACCTGGGTGCAAGTCTCGACCCGGTGTGCCAAATGAGAACCAGTCAGCCTTGTATCCCAGTTGCAGTACCAATGTGACCAAATGG